CGCTCAGGTCCCAGCAGGAACAGAGGGTTCGGAGCTGAGAAGTGGAGGCAGGATCCCTTCTCAGATGGAGGGTCAGGGAAAGGCTGTGTGGCCAGCTGGGTCCAGCCTGTCGCACACTAGGCCTCGGGCTGTGCCCCTCGTACTAGTCCTCCTTCCCTGGGAGCTGGTTCCTCCTCTTCTGCCTGGTTAAGTCCTTTCGGACTCCCTTTACCTCCCCCTGCCCTCCACTTGGATGGGCTGGGGGCCTGTGCCGTGCCCACCCCCCAGGCCCCCGCTCACAGCGCTGATCACACTGTGGTCACTGTGAGGCCCTTGGGTACGGGGACTTTCAGGGCATGCTCCCAGTGTTCCCAGCACCTGCCCAGAGCTGAGCACAGACAGAGTTTTGCCTGGAGGCCAGGGGAGCAGATCCAGACCCACAAATCCCCCAGGAAAGTAGGCCACCAGGAACAGGCACCCTGCCTCACACCCTGGGAGTGGTGATGGGCTCACTTCCTTTCGGGCAAACCTGCCCAAAGAGAATTTTTCCCCGTGGAGCCTGACACATGAGGGCAAATCGCAGCCATGCCGGTGAGCTCTGTCTGCCCTGAGCTGCAGAGCCTCATGTGGCTAAATAATGTCCCTTCTAAAACTGGTGGTGGGCTCGTTTATCTACCCTGGCATTTCCTTCAGGTCCTGGGCACACAAGCCAACCTCCACAGGGGAGCCAGGAAGCGCCATAGAGACCATGGAGCAGCTGCCCGCCTGGCCTTCGCACGGAGCTTCCTTTGCCAGATGGAAAAGGCAGGAAGAGTGGATAGGCTCTCCCCAAGGCCAAGATGCCGGGGCCGTTCCAGGTCTGGGCTTGAGACCCTCCCCTGGCCAGGGGGTGTGGAGAGCACCAGGTGGGGAGCCACAGCGAGGGCCACCCGGCCGGTCAGCTCCCTTCACCCATCCCAGGTTCACAGAGACTGCCCTCGAAGCCGGCACCCCTCTGGCATGTAGAGATGGGAGAAGCATAGCAGGCCCTCTCTGGGGTGCGGGGGGGGGGCTCTGGATGCCCCCAGTCTCAGGAATCCCGGGAGCTCTGGAGTCAGACAGTTCTGAGTGTTCCACACCCAGCACGGAGCCCAGCGCGGGGCTTGAACTCACGACTCTGAGATCAAGACTTGAGTTGAGATCGAGTTAGGTGTTTAAGTGCCTGAGCCACCCAGGCGTCCCTGGAGTCAGACAGTTCTGAGTGGCAGTCTTCCCTGGCCGCTTCCTGTCTGTGTGACCTTGGGCAAGTCACTTAGTCCCTCAGAGCTGCAGTTTTAAAAGGCGGTGCCCTGGGGGCCGTAACCTCTACCTGCACACTTGTCTGGGGACTAAGAGACTGCAGGCACAGCACCTGCCCACAGCAGGTGTTCAGCTAGTGGCAGCTGTGGTTATGAGGGAGCTGGCTGTCCCAGCAACCCAGAGGCGCAGTGAGAAATGTTCTCCGTGGGGTACCCCGGTGAATTCTCATAGGACAGTTGAAAGGGGCTTCAAGGAGGAGGTGGTATTTGAAGGCCTTGAAGAATGAGTGGGACTTTGCCAAGCCGAGGCAGGGGAGGGGGTGTCACCAGAGGAAGAGCAAGCACAGAGCTTCCAGGGGTAAAAGGGGGGGTCACCTGGTGTGGCCGAAGCTCGGGGAAGGTTAGGGGGAGACAAGGCCTGTTCCCTTTGGCAGTGGGAGCCAGTTCTAGAGGAAGGGAGGAAGCTGAGTTGATGACAGAGTCGGCAGGTTTGACGCAGACATCTGGATCACCGCAAACTTGACTTCCTGGAGGCATTCATGGCTTAGGACGTCGGACAGTTCTCTAGGATCCTGGAAAGCAGGCTTGTTTTAGCTGCTCTCAAGTCAGGCTTCTCAGGCTGGTCTTGTGGTGTTGGGATTCGCAGACAGTCCCATATTTGAGTTTAAGGACTGGCCTGGGTCTTCTTCTAATTTGAAGTTTCAGGGCTCCGGGGGTCCAGGACTGGCCCAGGCCCCACTGTGAGTTAGGGCCGACATTGCCGGGGAAGTAGAATGGACGCCTGGTCTCTGACTTGGGTGAGAGTTCCTGGAGCAGGCTGTCCAGCCTGGGACCCTGAGGTGACTGGAAGCCCCTGCAAGAGGCCAGGGTGGCTACTCCCTTCAATCTACCCCAAGGGGGATGGCGGTACAACCAGAGGCAGGCTGTCTGAGATCACTGTGGCTCTGCCATTTACCAGCTGTGTGGCCTCAGCCAAGTCGACTGCCCTCTCTGAGCCTCAGTTTCTTAGAGTGATCCCAGTTCTTTTTAAAAAATTTTTCTTCTTAACGTTTATGTGTTTTTGAGAGACAGAGAGACAGAGCATGAGTGGGGGAGGAACAGAGAGAGAAGGAGACACAGAATCCGAAGCAGGCTCCAGGCTCTGAACTGTCATCACAGAGCCAGATATGGGGCTCAAACTCACAAACGGTGAGATCATGACCTGACCCAAAGTCGGACGCTTAACCGACCGAGCCACCCAGGCGCCCCAGGGTGATCACAGTTCTTAAATCACCGGGCTAGGGTGAGGATTGTGTAAGATAAATCTCACAAAGCAGTCAGCCCAGAGCCTGGCTCCCAGGGGCACTCAGTAACCATTAGCTAAAAGAAAAGTCAACCCAGGAGAGTGAAGGCTCTAGCACCTCCCGTCTATGGGCCACTCAGTCCCTCCGAGCCTCAGTTTCCCTAGCTGTAAAATGGCTGGTAATCGTGCCTGGTAATAATAGTTAACATTTATGTGCACTTACTGGGAGTTAGGTGGGATGTTTTAATTGTGTAACTGTGTGGTGGCTTATTGAATAAGTCTCCCCAACTCTGCCCAACATGCGAGGGGAGTGTGGGGAGGGGGGTGGGGCACCCAAGAAGCCAAAAGCCTACGGGGAGGAGCATGAGGGTTGGTGTTTTCTGGGTGAGGCTAAACTGGCATGCTTGGCAGTGTGGGCAAGACCAGAGGGGATTGGATGGCTGGGGCGTGAAGACCAGCAAAGGGCCCACTCGCCGCGGCCAATGAGCCACCTGGCAGAACCTCCAACACACTGTGGGGCCTCGAGCAAGCCATGGCCCCACCTCAGGCCTCAGTTTCCCCATCTGTATGACGTGGGCTTGGGCTTACTCACCTCTCAGGTCCCCACCTGCTATCAGGGGCTTTGATTCTCTTGTCTCGGGCTTTTTTTGGATGGCCTCCAGGCAGATTGGGACTTCGGCAGCATCGGCTGCCCATTGAATTTTCCAGAAAGGGTGCCATCTTCCCTTCTATTCTGCAATCAGCCACGGTGCCTAGCCTTTCCCATTGCTCCTCCTGCCCCCACCCATACAGCTCACCCGGCCTGGGGTAGGGGGCTGAGAACATCCGGCGGGGCAGGCCCCGACACCATGCGACATGTGCTGTGTTGGGGGGATGCCCCCGGAGTGTGAGCATACGGGGCTGGGAAACCACATCTGGCCCACACCTGTCTGTGCGCAGCTGAGCTGCCAGGGAACACCCAAGGGGTTCATCGACACTGTCTTCTCGGTGGGAGCTCTGGAGTCGGACCGTCGGCTCACCCCTTGTTCCACTGTGCTCTTTGCTGGGTGCTGGGTGCTGGGTGCTGGAGAGCACCTTACTACCCGAGCCTGCTCGCTCCCTGGACCAGCAGTTTCACCTCAGGGGGCACCTGAGGCCAGAGTGGTGGAAACAGCCCTCAGGTGCAAGGTCATTGATTGAGCACCGTGTGGACAGCCCTCCGTGGCAGGCGATGTCATGACCCCGTTCTGCAGGTGGAAAAGCTGAGGCTCCAAGAGCTTAGGGAGCTTGCCCAAGGCTGCATTGTCTTCCGCTTCCCCTTTCTTTTTACATCACGCCTACTACCAAAAAGGAGCCGAGGCGGATTATAATGCAGGGAGCCCGGACGAGGCAGGACAGGTAAAGGGAGCCCAGAGACCACTAGGGGAGAGAGATTGGAGAGACAAAGAAGCCTGTGACAAGGCAGTTACCTGTCAGCTTGTCATTTCTTGCCCACACAGGATCTATGGGGATGGGACTAATGGTCATCCCAGGTGCGGGGGAGGGGCGCCCCACATGGTCCCAGCCCTTGAGGAATGCACATCCTCCTGTCCTGCCCACCTCCACTCAGCGCATGGGGTTAAGGGCTCTGCGTGGGTTCAGATCCTGGCTGTGTCACTCCCTGGCTGTGTGATCGCAGGCTAATTATTTATTGCTTTGAGCCTCGAGTTTCCTTACCTGTAAATGGCGATAATTGTCATACTCTGTGAGGGTGACCTGAGTTAATGCAGTAACTCAGCTCGGTGCCCACAGGAGAGCTGTAGGAATGTTCTCTATTGTTATCCCCTCAAACCAGTGCAGATGCCCCTCAGACGCTCAGTTTGCTGAGCACCTGCTCTGTGCCAGCACCAAGCCCGGGGAGCCAAGGATTCATCACACAGGCCCCTCCCGTGCTCTGGGCTAAGCTGCCAGCCTCAGGGCCTGGGGCTGAGTGTGTGGATCTGACGTGTAGTCGGAGCGGCCTGCGAGAATTGGTGTGTTGGCTCCCACTGCTGGCGTGACAGACATCCTGATGAAATATGTCATTTTGAAACATGTTTAAAAGAAATTTCTGGAGAGCTTTCTTACCCCCACGGGGCCATAAGTAGCCTGATTGTTGTCAGGTTCTAGACTCGGCTTTGGCACAATTTGCCAGGGTCCCTTCCTTTCCTGGGCCTCAGTTTCCTCATCTGTATAAGGGGGCAATAACCATATACCCTCCCGGAGAGGGTTGACCCCCTGTGAGACTGCTCCTGTGAAATGTAGTTTGTAAGCTCAAAAGCACCTTGCGGCCGTCGAGATCTTTCGGTTCTGTTTCTGGTCGTTTCGTGAGACGGTCATGGGCAGATGCCTGAGCCATGCCATGCATGCTGGATGCCGACCGACATCAGTGGGATGCTGGCCCTGCTCTCAAGGGCTCCCTGAGTAGTGGCCTCACTAAACCCCTTGAATTTTGTGATTTCCAGAGAACGTGGAAGGCCCCTCAGGCAGCCTGGCCCCTTCCAGGGGAAATGCTGGTAAGTGTTTTGTTCTGTCTGTTGTTAGTTTGTTCCACAAATGTTTTTGGAGCAGTTGCATGTGCTGGGGATGAGTGCGGGATAACCAGAGGTCTGCCCTACCCTCGAGAGCTCAGTCCGGGAGGAAGGATTTGAAGACTCCATACCCACCTGACCGGATGCCCTGGGGTTCAGGGGTGGCCGGACGCAGAAGTATGCATTTTTCAGAAGATGCACATCCACGGGGCCCCTGGCAGGATCATTTATAAATGAAATATTGACTGTTTCCTCTTTTCGGAATGTTTCAGTGGCTCCCCCTCTTGCCTTGGGATAAAGTCCCCGTGCCTCTCGTGGCCGGCACAGTCTTCTTCCAGCTGCAGCTCTAGCTTTCTCGTTTCGCTTAAATTGCATTGGCCTTTTTCCCCTTCCTGCACATCCACTTGCTCCCTCCTGCCTCAAGACCTTTGCCTGTGCTGTGCCTGCTGCCTGGACCGCACTTCCAGCCTCAGCCTGTGGCTCCTTCTTATCTTTCAGGTCTCACCTCAAATACCCTGGATCCCCAATGCCCAGGGTCCCATTATACACCCTCTGTGCACCTGCCATGCATTCTTACTAACGGGTACCTCACCTTTACCAAAGGATTGTTTATGTGTTGACTCGTTCTCTCTAGTGGCCCCATGGTGGGACTCGGCCCCGTGACAACAAGGGCCCTTGGACTCAGTGAATGTTTCTGGGGGGAATTTCTGATGAGTATTAAGGTAAGGCTCCGTGGAGGTGGTGGCCCTTGAGTGAGTCTTGAAAGAGGTCGTACTTTCAGTCTCTAGGCAAGAAGGAAGGGCTTCCTGCTTTGGGCAGCAGAGAGGCACGTGGCAGGAACACAACTCACTTGGTTTAGCAAAGAGGCAGAACGGGACATGTGAGAGGGAGGGTTGGAGAAGTGAGCTGGGGCCAAACAAGGGCTCTGCGTTCGAGGTGAATGAGAATCGACTAGGATTCTGAAGCCACTTGGGACCCTTTGAAAACTTTTTGAGCCAGGGGCAGGAGGGTCGAAGCTGGCTTTGGGTCACTGTAATGAGTCTGCTGCAGGGATGGGGACGGGGGGGGGGGGGGGCCCGGGAACAGAGGCTACAGTCAAAAGGACCGGTTGGGAGTTGGGAGAAACCATCGACTGCTGTTTTCCGTTTCTCCGGAACCACACACGTGCGTTGTCCCTCGTCCTCCAGAGCCAGCAGGGAGCGCAGGGCAGAGACAGGGAACCTCACACGACATCACTGCTTCCAGAAGACAATCCTCCTGGTTGCAGGCCGGTCATTCCCGAGTCACTGGAGGGAGAGATGGAGACGGGGCAGGGTAGGGGTGCATCCACGCCCACGTTTTCTCAGCTTCCGCAACCCAGAAGGCAGCACCTAGCTATGTCTCCCTACACCTGTGTCCTGGTGCCTTCCCAGTGGCCAAGGGATTGTGACACGGAGGGGACTGGCCTGTGCCAGAAGATGAATAGAAGCATTTCTGTCAAAGCCCAGCAAACAAGACAGCACCTCCTTGCTCCCATGGGGGCACAGCCCACGCGGTCAGAAGAGCCAGGACTCTCAAGTCCCAGATCTTCTGCTTGGAGGCTGTGTGCCTTTGGGCATCTTTTTTTTTTTTTTTTTTAATTTTTTTTTTTTCAACGTTTATTTATTTTTGCGACAGAGAGAGACAGAGCATGAACGGGGGAGAGGCAGAGAGAGAGGGAGACACAGAATCGGAAACAGGCTCCAGGCTCT